ATCAATAAAGTTAATGCAGCATGACTCCAAAGATACATTCAGCATGGTGAAACATCTTTCTGGAGTTGATGTGCACAGCAATGTGATAAACAGGTAGTTTGTAGACATTGCAAGATTGTAAATAGTTAAATAGCATGTACAGCCACCATTTTATTCCAGTATTAGTAGTAGCTGTGAGAAAATGGTTGTACGAATTCCAATTATCTTTTATATATTTCTTTTTCTTTTTCTTTTTTTTCAGCATAACTGTGTCATACTGCACAGAGAAGATACAACAGAAAATCTCCTAAAAATGCAGTCATTTTATGTAAATAAAATACATGTTCTAGACATTTTTTAAAGAGATCACCCAATTTTTGGGGCTTTTTAATGAAAATATTTTCAGACCAACAGATATTCGACAAGTCTTTGTGAAAACTTTTAGAATTATACAAGGTATCTCTCATTTAACAAAGGAATCTGTGTAAACTTGAAGTTTTTTTTTTCTCCTTTACTTCTATCTGCTTTTTAAAACATATGTACAGTTGTAAACTTGAATTGTTTTAGCCATTTAGCAAGAATTACATTTTTGTGAAATTATTTACAAATGATTTTTTTAATGCATTTGCAAAACCATCAAACCCAATACTTTAAAAAAAAATTGGTAATTTCATGTAAGTACTTAGTTTGTTTTAAGAATTTTCAATGCATTTCAAAAATACAGAAAAAATGTAAATTAAAAAGGGAAAAAAATGACACTCCTGATCTTTTTTTCTTTTCTTTTTTTTTTTCTCAAGTGTTAGATGATTAGTGTATATTATGGAACTGAGACAAACTGAGTGTGCTTTGTGTACATAAGCTGTCTGAGCACATTTTTCTCACTGGTCACTCAGTGCTGAGAGCTCCTGGTCTCTTCTTTTTGAATTTTGTTTGCTTTTTTCAGTCGATGGCTCTTCAGCTTCATCTTCCTCTCTCTGCTCCTCACTCTCCACATGTGGTTCCGTTTCCTCCCAACAATGTCATAAGAGTTTTTCTTCTCGCCCCTCAGGAGGCTTCACTTTCTTCGAACTCATGCAACGCGGAGTGCCCCTACACCTGATTGACAAGTACATGAATGAAGCAAAGACTGTTGAGCAGGAGAAGTAAAACTGAACACAGTGCAATAAGACACTTTGGCTTTGCAGACATCTGCCGCCACTAGTGACCCTTTTCTCTCACCTACTGAGGTCAGCTGCCTGCAGACGGATGGAGGCGGGGCGGGGCAGGTGGAGGGGTGTGAGGGAGAGCGTGCTGGTCTGTGGTGTGGCATGCTGTGTGCAGCTTTGATGGTAGTTACCATAGGAAAAAAAAAAAAAGCCAGTTCATCTTCTTTGTCGCCCTGTTGTGTTTGACGGACTGTCAGCTCAGATGCATGTCAGCAGTGTTTTGGTTCTCACTTTATTAAGGACATGTAGTGTGTAAAACAAATATTCAAATCTCATGTAGCACAAACAGTGATACACAACTGCAGTATTTCCATGTGGATTTTTGTTGGGAGTGCTTGTTGAAGATGAAAATTTACTGCTGGGGTCTGAAAAAAGGGAAATGAGAATGTATAAACTAAGGTTTAGTGTTTGTATGGCATCAGTGGACTTCTTTATGGCAAGAAAAATGACAATAGACCTGTTGGATAAATGAACGCGTTGACCCTTCTGATATGCATCACATTAATATTTGTTAAGTTCACTTTTTCTGTGTAGCTTATTTCAGTGAGAAAATGTAGAGATTTACATGAAGTCCATATTCTGCATGAGACATTATAATTTTTGGATTCATATTGGACTGTTGTTTGATTGAGACTCAGTCATGTGCGCATGCCTTTACTTTTGTAATTATGATCTGTGCATTACAATAAAACATGCAATTAAAAACAAAAAAATCATGTCTTTGTTGTCATTATGAGCACAGTTCTTGTTTGATCTGTTTTGGTCAAAGACTCATTTTTTCAATAATTTCTGAATTTGCTAGTTTTCTTTTTAATCATTTTAATAACTTAAATTTAGTTTTGATTATTTTAACGTCTGAATTTTTAGACCAAACATTCGATCAATTGAAAAAAAATATCAGTGAAGTGATCTATTATGAAAATAATCAATAGTGGCAGTCCTATACACAAAAATAGTCTTGACCTAAATAATTACATTAGTCAGGTAAATTTATATAATTGATATTGTAGGGCCTTGACCGCAATATTTTACTTGGACAAATTTGCATTTTGTATAACATTGTAGGGTCCTAACCTTAATATTTAAACTGTTAGATAAATTTATATAATAAAACATATTGTAGGGTCCCAACCTTGGTATTTAACTTAGTCAAGATACATTTTTATAATGTTGGGTGTTTATCTTAATAATTAGTCATCTCCAATCAGGTCTTTAACTTCTTATATAAATGATTTGGCCAAATGTATACAGTACTGTGGGGTATTTGCCTCAATATTTAAGTTAGTGAAGTGAATTTATGCCACAAACATAAACAATATTGCAGGGCCTCTATCCAAATATTTGATTTGCACTAGTGGATTTCTATGTTATATAATGTTGTAGGATCCTAATCTTAATTTTCAAACTTATTAGGAAAATCTGTATGAAAGATATTTTTTGTAGGATAAAAATTGTAACATAAAAATTGGTCATGTCCATTACTAGATAATAAATGATATTGTAGGATCATAAGCTTATTGACATTAATCAGCTAAACTTGTTAGAATAAATAAAATTGTTGCATGTAACTTCTATTCTTAGTTCAGTCAAGTAAAAAAATTAAATTGTAAATTGTAGGTATGAGAGTAAATTAGTCAAGTAAAGTTAATATATTATTGTCTTTATCTTATTTAAATTACTCAGCTAAATTTGTATAATGTTTAACGTTGTATGGTTTTAACTTTCAAAACTTGGCACTCAGCCTTGTTCTTCCTTCCGTCCCACTACTTCCGGTCGGGACGCACCGCCTCGGTTAGAAACAGAAACACTTGGTTCCGCTGTGGAAATGGCCTCGTCTGTTCGCCGGGCTATAAATGCCAAATGAGCTGCTACTTTTTCGGAGTCTTCCGAGAGAACATATAGCCTCTTTTGAGCCACTACCGGGGACTATTGGGGACTTTGTTACGGTACTTTGAGGAGTGACGAGGCAGACAAACATGCCACATTTGCTGTGGCCGGAGCCGCTGTCAGCCGCTCACCTCAAGCGGCTGGAGGAGCATAAATACAGCGCCTCCGGTCGCTCCCTGTTCGAGCCGCCGTGTCAGCTCTACTGGAACTGGCTCGTCCAGCAAATACCGACATGGATCGCACCGAACACACTGACTATAGTTGGACTGATGGTCAATATCGTGTCCACGGTGGTGCTCGTGTATTACTGTCCCACGGCAACAGAGGAGGTGAGTAAAGCGACCTTGGTTAAAGTTTCTACACGGAGACTAGCCCCGGTGAGGTGTCGCTGGTATGTTAAGAACGCCGACCTCCATTCACAAATTGCGTAAGCTAAAGTTACATGGCTGCCTGCAAAGCCCAGATGACTCGAAACCAGGCATAAAGACATGTACTTAGTCAATGAAGTCTACGTGTTAATTCGGCGTACCTTAAAGCCTCACAGCTTCTCCTGTTTTAAAGCAAATTCCACTTCTTTAACGGGGTCATAATACTCGCTGACGCCCTCGGTGGTGTATTTTGGGACTGTTGCTGCATGCAGGACACTGTTAGCCGAATTGGACACCCCACTGACTCAGGAAATATCTTAAATCACAATACATTAAGTTTGCATGGCCGCACACAAGCGAGGACTCTTTAAAACGTCAGATTTTTTAATGGGATTAGGCGTGACAGGGTCTCTGCAGGATAACTGTATTGGGAATAGACGCGTGGTCATGTGGTCTGTTCACGTAGGATCTTGGGAAGTTGACAGCTTTGACGTGTTGTCTGTCTGGCCTCATGTGATGCAGTGTTGCTGATGGCAAAACAGCAGTTTGGAGGAAAATCTTGTTGTTCTTCAGGCCACCATCAGAGAGGAGCTTTAGTAATACAATTATGTAGGTCTAATGGTGCAGTGCTTACACGGGCTGCAACTAAAAATATCTGTCTAAGGCTGATTTTGAAACGAGAGCTTCTCATCCCCTCTGCTTAAAACACAGAGATGGACCTTGCAACATGCAGCTGAGCTAACAGCTCCCTGACCTATGATCCAGTAAATCTGTGCCTGCAGGTTCACTGGCTCCAGCACTAAACGCACAGACCTGTGTGTTTTTATCAGATGTGCACTTTTGTCCAGTCCACCCATGAGAACCCTGCACCTGAAGCAAAGTCCATGCAGCATGTCGTTACTATCAGATTCCATAAGTGCAAAAAAACATGTCAGTTATTTAGGACTGGCTGACACAATCTTGGCCAGCGTCCACTTTTATTGTAAAACTCCCATGACTGCGCAAACAAACGCATATCAGAGGAATTCGTGTGAGCCCACAGACAATTCAGAGCTCTCCGTCAAGTGACCTCTGTGATAAACCCTAAACAAACAAACTCTGTCCCCACCAGCCCACGAGACATTCAGGACTGAGACTTTGAGGAAAAAACAGCAGGGACTCTGAGTATTTCGGACAGCAGGGGATTCTTGATCTCTGTGGAAACACAGACTCCATTTGTGTGTCTCTCTCACACTCACAGACATGCACTAATGGTCACACACCCCCATTGTGGTGTGGTAAGCACACTGTGCTGGCCTGCACTCATGTCCAGATGGTCCATAACCTCCACCCTAGAAAGACTAACTTGGCTGCTTCAGTCAGCTGGAGTCCCTCCTTCTCTGCGCACAGATACATGCATATGGTGGATGGATGGTGGGACACATTAGCTACTTATATGTGAATATAGTTGGCCACATCAGAGCTACACAGATCCTGACCAATTTTTAATGATTATATTTAGATCTAGGGCTCCTTTACAACAGCAATAAACTGTTACACAAACATTACCTCCTCAACCAACCCCACCGCCCTCTGTATATCCACATGCAGATAGTAATTAAAAGTAGGATATACAGATAAATATAGAACAATATTCTAGTATCATGTGCAAACATGTGATACAAGAAGTTCAGACTCTCTGTCTACTGTATATGCTACATATGCTCTGTCTACTGTATATGCTACAGTATAGGACTAAATATTGACAGTTTGCAAGTGTGCTTTGCATAAAGACTGCTACTGCCTATTATTAAATTGTTGACTAATCTGACGATTATTATTTTTATCAATTGTTTAGTCTATGAAGTGTCTGAAAATGGTTTTTAAAAAATAAAACATTTTTAAAAATGTCATTCCCAGTTTTAAAAAAACCAAACAAACATCAAAGGTGACATTTTCAAATATCTTGTTTTTTTCTGGCTGACAGTCCCAAACATGAATACAACCACAAATCCCTCCTTGAGCTACAGCTGCTGTATCCTGTAGAGTTCTGTGGAGGTTGGAGCCTGTCTCAGCTGACCACGGGGCAAAAGGCAGGGTGCACCCTGGACAGCTCACCAGTGCATCACAGGGCTAACACAAAGTGACAGACATGCATGCATGCGCAAATTTACACCTACCACCAATTTAGAATCACCAGTTAATGTGGCATGCGTGTCTTTGGCCCGTAGGAGGAAGTTGTGGCACCCAGAGAAAACCTATGCAGGCACAGGGAGAATATTAAAACTCCACACACAAAGGCCACAGCCAAATGGCTGTTTCAAACCCAGTGAGCCAGAAGCTGCTGAAAGTTTGAGAAACATTCCCATACACTGTCTAACTTGCAAAACTTGAGTTGAGCACTTGAGCAAGGCCCTTAACCCCCGAACTCTATCTGCACCCAGGGACACCATTTCTTGGCTGACTCTGTGCTCTTTAAAGGACAAGTTTGCGGTCTTCACTGTGGGCAGGGATCTTTAACAGTCTGTCACTTTCCTCTGTTGATTGGCTTCAGGCTCCATCATGGGTCTTCATCCTTTCTGCTCTGGGCCTCTTCATCTACCAGTCTCTGGATGCCATCGATGGGAAACAGGCCAGGAGGACAAACAGCAGCTCAGCCCTCGGGGAGCTGTTCGATCACGGCTGTGATGCCGTCTCCACAGGTGCTTCACTACAAGACCAATCTGTGATATTCTACCATTTATAGCCAACTATTCAACTTTAGTGCATTAGTAGAGTAAGAACAAGCTGCTGTGTCATTGGCATGATATTCATTATTTGTGGAATAGCTGTTACTAATGTTTATGTCTTTTCCTGTTTTTGTCTCTCAGTCTTTGTTGCTGTGGGAACATGCATTTCATGTGGAATAGGAAGATTCCCAAACTGGATGTTCTTCTGTGGTTTCATCGGGATGTTTATGTTCTTCTGCGCTCACTGGCAGACCTACGTGTCTGGGACCCTCCGCTTTGGCCTGTAAGTATCCCGTTACTTGTTTTCCATGAATCAAACATTAATACAGATGCTCTGCTGCTTTTATTTATAAAGCTAATATCACTCTTTCTCTGATTTCTGCACAGGGTTGACGTCACAGAGGTGCAGGTCGCCATCATAATCATGTATCTGATGTCAGCCTTTGGAGGAGTGAGCCTTTGGCAAATCACGGTAACCAGAGAGTCATGAATTTTCACACTCACATGCACAAATAGGGACACGTTCATTTCACCTCGAGTGAACAGTTGAACAGTTTTTTCTCCATTACTCTAAACAAATTCCTAGTTTTTAGTCGTTCTTCTAGTCGTTAAATAGAATTTGTGTTTTACTTTTACTCTGTGCTGCCTTTGGAGGCTTGACTTAACATCACATGAGAGAAGTGAGAAGGTAAATATGGGTAGCTAACGCCATGGCAACAGGTCATCTATTGGACATGATCTGGCTCAAAAAGCTGATGATGTCACCTGCATTTGTTTTTTTATTTTCGTTATTTTGCTTTGCCCTCCCATCACGCTCGGCATGCTGCAGCTTTCATATTAGCACTTTTCTATCTGTAAGGAGAATGCTTTTTGTTTTTTCTTTAATTTGACCCTCACGTGTCTCCGTAGTTGCCCGTCATAGGACTACAGCTGTACGTCTTCCCCATCCTGGGCATCATCGGGGGGGCCCTGTACTCCTGCTACAACTACTTCTATGTCATTTTGAATGGAGGCGTCGGCAAAAATGGCTCCACCGTCGCTGTAAGTGGCTTTAATTAGTCGGCATTATTTTAGGACGCATAGAAGGCGTTGTGTTTTGCAGAAATAAGCTAATAAACAGTCCTTCTGTTTAGGACACCAGTGTGCTGAGTCCTGGTTTGCACATCGGCCTCATCCTCTCGCTGGCCTTCATCATTTTCAAGAAGTCGTCCAGCCACCTGTTCGAGCAGCACCCGTGTTTATACCTGCTCGCCTTTGGCCTTGTCATCGCCAAGATCTCCAACAAGCTGGTGGTGCGTTTGATTTGCCTCAATCACCTAAAATGAACTGGCTTTTTGGTATTTTGGCCTCTGCTTTGGGGCCAACATGTTTTCTCTGTTAATTCTGTACAGAGTGTATTTAACCTGTGTTTTCTACCTCATGTGTCTCGTCTGTAGATAGCACACATGACCAAGAGTGAGTTACACCTCCCAGACACGGCCTTCATCGGGCCCGGCCTCCTCGTCCTCAACCAGTACTTCAACAGCTTCATAGATGAACATATAGTCCTCTGGATCGCTATGGTGAGTACTGAATACAGCCACAGCAGTATTCACAGGTCCTAAAGGGCTGCTCCAGTGATTTAGTGCTGCATCTCCACAACGCTGAGATAAGCGAGCTAATCATGTTGCAGGGCCAGACCTATCTCCACAGCTGTCAATGCAGGGGAATGGTCTGGTTGCACCTCAGTATCTTCTTGCAGTAGAGGAGGGAAAAATGGTTTGTTTGTATTTCTTTAAATAAATCACAATCATCCTGGATGGTGTTAAGCCCAGGATGTAGTGATGGTGTCCCTGCAAAAGCTGGATAATTCCGAGAACGAACCAGGAAGGTCTGGTTTCACGATTCAGATCTTCAGAATTTTCACAACAGTGAAACACAGACGGCAGAAGGTGAGGGAATGCCATGGAAAATACATAACCCATGGGGGCTGATACCCACAGTCTACATCCAGTGAGTCAGACTAGGCTTATAGTCCTGGAATTTTGTCGAGAAACCAAAGATGCAAAAAATTTGAAATATACTCAACAAGAAAAGGAGAAACTTAAAGATCCTTGACCCCAACAAAGTCCAACCTGTGTACAGTATATTGCTTGGTGCTATAAAATCTATCACTTCTATTATGTTCTTATCAGTAGAAAATGTTTATGTTTTCAGTTTCAGTTTAACCTAAACCCCCAGAGTAGAGCAACCCTGTGGCAATAAACATGGACATATTTTATATCGCAGGATTCAGGAGATCCTTGAACTACAGGAACACACAGGATCCTAAATGTTTTCAAAAGCATTGTATCGAAAACATTTAGTTATTTTAAGGGGCTAAAAATCTTCAGTTTTTACTGATTTTAAAGGCCAAAGGGTTTTCTTTCTACCAAGGCCTCATTCCTGCATACAATTAGTGTTTTAGAAGCTACAGCCATGATGATTTGGGTCTGCTGGTTTTAGACTTTAGGTCCAAAATAAGGAGGGAAGAAGTAAAGGGTAAGTTTGCCTGAAATGAAGATTGTAATACACCCTGTTGTGACTTAAGGAGCTACTCCAGATTGAAACTCTAAAAACAAACCTTTAAATCTGTACGTGGTTCCCTACTGGTGGCTGTTGCTGTATGATACTCCTACAGTGAGACATAAACTGCTTCAGGAGGTCACACCCATAACGTTCTCAACAAACGGAAGCAAACGTGTCTTTGAGGCTAAACGCACTTTCACAGTTAATTCCTTTAATTCTTTTCTTTGTATACCTGACTCAATTAAGAGCTGCACATATTCGTGACAGCTTATTGAACCGGGTGTGGAGTTCAATAAAAAAACAAAAACTTGCAGAACAGGTACGCCATGATGACTGACAAACACAGTTAATTCCAACTGCGTTACATGTTGTCACAGCCGTTTTCCGTGCTGTCTGTGGGACTCTGAGCTCTGCTGGTTTTCACACTAATCATCTAATCACAAGCTTACTACTCTTGTGGTTCAAAGAGCACACGGTTTCATTTACACTGAAGAAGATAAACCCAGTGATATGTGTTATCTCTGCTGGCTTTGCAACCCTGCAACATTTCACATGGTTCAGCTCTGAAAGGATGAACGTAGGTTTTGCTGCTACGGTAAAAATTTGATGCTTTAGACTGACTTTAAAGCTGCCTTAAAACATACATTTTTAAATCACAACGTACTTGAGCGTGATTTTAGGAACAGATGTTGCATTAATGTTTTCCAAGAGAGCCAAAGTTACAGGACTTCAAGCTTCAGGCCTGGTGTAATTATATACAGGATATTAGCTGATGTGTACAAAGCTGCCACCACAGTTCAGTGAATCTGGGTGGAGCCAACCTTGGTGTGTAAACAGACCTTTTTCCCAGCACACACTCTCCAACATTCAAATTGCAGGCAAAAGTGGCACAAATCAGATTTTTTTTTCCACTCATATTTGACTCAAATAATTTATTTTCTTAGCACAGAACATCACAAATCACATGGAATCTGTTCTGACTTACTAGATGTGGAGTGCGGGTATAAACCTGACATTGGCTTTTCCTGTCAGCTTTCTGTGCGCTACTATTTTCAAAATCTACCTCGCTACAGGAAACAAGAACCTCCGAGCAGCAACCTACCACACTGGAAATTTCAGGTTTTGCTGAGGATCGTGCAGTCAGGCAGTCCTGCTAGTTTTTTCTTTTTTTTTTAGTAGATTATCTATTTTCATTATCATCGTTCTGTATGCAAATGTTTCACCAAACTGTCAGTATTCTGAGGGAACACCCAAACTATTCATTCAGTTCTTCCCAAGACAACTGGGATTAGTTTAAAAGGAATATTAACATGCCAGAACATTTTGTTCCCCTAAAGCAGAATGATTTTGAGGTGCAGTCAGACCACTGTGTTCTGCAGAAAGTGCTGACTAAGCATGTTTTCAGTTTTGATTTGAACCAATTCCATATTTGCTCCAAAATCAGACACAGCTCTTATTTTTTAACAATGGAACCTCAGTGTGACTATTCATATTAGAATTTTATGTGACTTTTATTTCACTTCCTAGAACTGAAATGACAGATGTCTTTAAAAGAAGCTCCTTACATCCTGAAATTTTGCATAAAATCTGTTTCACTGAAGCCATTAACGTTACAATCCCCCCACTCCTGGCTCTGACTCTGCATTCACACACCTCCGTACAGAAGCAGCAGCTGCTGTTTAACAAAAAGCCACAGTTAAAAATTTGGCTCTTGTGAAATTGCAGGCTTCCACTGCACATAAATTTATAAATGAACGCCAACTTCTCTGGTCTCTATGTTTGCTTTCACAGACAGCTTGCTCCTGGGGAAGTCTTTGTTGTTGTTTTGCGCATATGGCTCATTTAAAAACCTGTTCACACTGAAAACCGGTAGTAGCCACATTTTAAAAACACACAAATGAACAGCCAAACAAAAAAAAAATCTGATCTGAGCAATAAATCCAGTTCGAGCATTGAGGCTTGTTGTGTGAATGAAGCCTTCAACATGTCGCTGCAGGACAAACACAGGTGTTGCTAATAGCATTAAACACACCTGCATGGCTCACTGGCTTCACTTCCTGGAACAGAAATCATTGTTAATGTTATCAGTTCCACCTGTGCTGTCACACTGTGTGTGCTGTGAAAAAGTGTTTTCTTGCCTGTGCACACAGTCCAGAGGAAAATGAATGAAAACACCTGCGCAGCTAGGACTGAAAAATGTCCAAAATAATATGCAAATATCCCATTTCACTTTTTTCCTCACTTGTGATATAGTTTATTTAAGTCAGGCTTCAGTTTAATGTTCACTGTCTAATAGAGCAGGTACCATCAAAGAAGCATGAATATGTGACATAACAGCACTTAACAAATAAACTGCAGTCTTTACGATTTACTGATTGTTGCAGTTTTGATTTAAACTCGTTTAATTGTTCAGCTCCTGTGTGTAATGCATCATGAAACATTGTATGACTTTAATAAACTGATTTGCCTGATTTTTTTATACCATAAAATATGTATATTTATAAAGGTACCGGTGAAATTTTAGCTTCATATATGAACCACTTTACGAGATATTGAGTTATCCCTCTGTACACCTGGTTTGAAAGGCAGGCTGTTTTTAAAAACAAAACAAACAAACAAAAAATTAAATTACAGCATTTGTCACAGCAAAAAAAAATATAACAGAAACAACTATCAGAACTGTACCATCCCAAAAGTTAATCATAGTCATATTTAATGAAAATCAATTAATTTTACAATAAAAATGGCAAAAATGTACCATTTGCAAAAAAAAAAAAAATTATATTCTTAAATTCTAATTAAATTAAATTAAATTAAATTAAATTAAATTCTGTGCTACTCTGCACAAGTACAAAGTCATTACTTCCACAATCACATGACAGAAAATCAGTACATTTTGGCTGAACTACAGGCTGTGTTTCAATAGAGCAGATTGGACACAAGTGTGGAAACAAATCAAAATGTTAAGGAGTTAAAAATGGAGTCTAAAATTTTCCAGTGGTCGTAAAACCTGTGGGAGATGTTGTACCTGTTGATTCCAGGTGTTTTTTTGTTTTTTGGGTTGTTTTTTTTTTAAAGATGTTCAACTTTCATTTTGTCTTTCCTTTTTATGATATATGACATTATATCTGTGTCATACTACACCAAAAATATTTCAGAGTTCTCTGTACTTCTAGCCATGGTTGTGCTGTTTCCATAGAGGTGCAGGACTTTATGATGCAGTGAAAAATGAGCCCACAGAGTGTAAAAATATGACACAAGGAAAAAAAACACTTGGGTTCAGAGTGTTACTAGATTCTTCATATGGCATTTTTCCTTTTTTCCAGCCTTTAATGTTTGATCCTCCCCTTCCTTTCTGCAGGTCCTCTCTCTTGTGGATCTGACGCGGTACTGCACCGGCGTTTGCCTCCAGATCGCTTCCCACCTGCACATCCAAGTGTTCAGCATCACGCCGCCGAGCCACGCCCACCGCGACTGACGGCTTGCCCGGCGGGAGGAGGCGGGGGGAGACGAAGATCTCTCGCCGCTCCTGAAAGCAGACAATGACGACGAGGAGAGACCCTCGACCCCGAGCCACTGCAGCCTTGACAAAGTCACCACTTCTGACTAAAACTGCCTCAGCCACCAGATGGAAAAGTGAAACCAACATTCACACTGCAAACCAAAAACAAAACAAGAAAAACCTTTTAAAAGCATGGATCTATAGAATGTAAAAAGAAAAACATAAGTGGAACCAGAGTCTTTCTTTTCAACATGGGTGCATGTTGTTAGATTTTTACATCCAAGGGTCGCTCTTTCCACTTATTCAACACAATTACCAAAATGTTTTCTTTTTTTTTAATAGGTGTCTTATAGCTCAGGCAAATATCAAAGAATTTTTATCCGCTTCAAATGAAAAGACACGTTTGTGATGGATTGTCATATAATTTCCTGAACACGTAAATATACGACAATCACCTGAAAAAAAAAGAGTTGCTAAACTTCTTTGATATTTGCCGAAGCTAATTAGATAACCTGTTTTCTTAACCGCTCTTGTTTTTATTTATTTAATGAATCAATCTGGCACGAATCAGGACTTGAAAATCCAATTTTAAATTTTACAAATGACCTTTATAACCTCAGATAATTTCCAATGAAGTTTCCAATGTGGGCAGGCAGATTGTCAACGCGCTACGTGAAGGGGTAACGGTCTGTGTTAGTGCTGAAAGCGACGTCCTCACGAACACCACTCCAGCTTCTAACGTTTTTACTTCCCGTTACTCATCTCGTCCTGGAAAATAAAAATTAAAAAAAGCCTTGGGCCTCTCTAGCGCCGTCGACTGATGAAGCATTAACACTCGACTTGTTCTGCTTTCTCTGTTCTTCTCCCTGAAGGGCTAATACTTAATTACGTGTGATTGTACAGAACTGAACTGAAGACGCCTTAAATATTTTTGTTGTAATTACTGTTGAACTTGTGAATATTTAAAGCAGCTTTGTACATGTTTTTGTTTGTTTCTTCTTCTTCTTTTTTTTTTCCACTGAAGTATCAAACCAGATACAACAATAGTAATAATAACACAACGTGACTGGAATTTTTTTAAAACTGTAACACTTCTGAAGTCTTTTCACTGAAACAGGTGTCTGTTATGTATAGGTGAGCGGTTCATTTGGTTATTGAGGATTTGTTGGATTGTCGGTAATTCTTTGTTGATCGAATATCACTGAATCAAAAGGGATTTTTTCCACAAAGCCTGTAAACTATTTAAGGGTTTAAAAAAAAAAGGGTACTCTTAATTTTTAGTTTCAACAGTAACACCATCTCCCCCTTGGACTCTGCTTGGACAGGATTCTGGACATTGAAGAGGGGCGCGTCCTTTCAAAGATGATTTTGCGTAATTTGTGGATGGACCCTGGAACTATGCATTGAAATGTACGTTGATTCCAAATACATTGTTGCACTGTTCAGTAATACAGTGAAACACCTTTATACTAACCGGTATGAGTGAAAAAAGATTGTAATAAAGAAAATATTTTTCATCCATTTTGTTGCTATTGGTGGGGGAAAACAAGAACTGCAATACCACAGTGTAGAAATACTGCGTTACTAGTAAAAGCACTGCATTCCAGTAAAATGTACTTGATCTGCAGAAACAATGTATATATCTTTATATACAATATGTTGTAAAATTCATATTTTTAATGTTCAGCAATAGTTCAGTCCAGTGGCTCCTCAACTGAGACCTTCTCTAAGGGTTCACAAGGTAAATCTGAAAGGTCAGAAGATAATTAATTAAATTAAAAAAGAGAAATAAAAGTTCTGCCACAGCAGTTTATATGTACTAAAATCTCAGATAATTGAATGAACTTTTATAGGGAGAAACATGAGAAGCTCCAATCCAGCATTTGTTCGACTGAGAACCACTGTTTGTACCTTTAAGGGTGCATTGTGTTTTTAAAGCTTTTCATATGTGATACATATATACACAACTGTAACATAAAGTGAAAGAGTAAAGATGCAAAAAATGAAAGCTCAAGTAAAAGTGGTTCAAAACTGTTTTAACTGTGGAGGACAAAAGCCAACAACAAGATGACCGAACCAAATCACATTTATTTCAGTCAAACAAACCTCGGAAACTGATGCAATCTGAGGAAATCCCATTTTGCAAAATTCATTGCTCAGCTTCTTGCCGGCCCAACCTGCTGACATCACACATCTTATGACTCGGAGCAAAATGCTAACAACTTCTAGCAGCCACTTCCATTTTTTTATTTTTGTCGTTATAATAAAGAACGCTGTAAAACTGACAATCGGAGGAGAAGATGACGAGCACTTTCTGAGGCTATGTTTACATTCTGGCATTCAAATCTGGTGCATCAGTCACTGGACTCACGGTCACAATAATACAATCAAAAATAAGTTACAGAACATGCTGAGGGAGTCTGAATTTCAGACAGCAGCGAGCCTGTCGAGTCCCACGGGGACACACATACAGGCGGCTGTGAACGCTGTAGTATCACTGACATGGAGCAACAAATACATCGTACCACGTTAAGAATGATGATAATAATATTCTGTATCTCATTCACTCTCACTGTAAACCACTAGATAAAGGTGTGATGTGGCCAACAACAGGAAGAAAGACATTTAAAAACCCAACAAAAACGTTCAAACAAGCAGGAATGAACTACGAAGGCACTTCAAGTTTTCGTGTTTTTAAAGATTAATGATTCCTTCTCATCCTATATGTATGTTTTCTTCATCTCCATAAAATGAAGCCATAATGATACAAAACAAACAGGGCTAGAAGCAATGATTGTTGTCATTATTGGTTGATCTGCCTGACTAGTTTTTCACGATTTTTTTTATATAAATTGCGAAACAAAAACACACAAAAAAAACCAACACAATTTCCCAGCAGTAAATGTGACATCTTTACATGTCTTCTCAAAGAATTCATAATGATATAAAACAGGGAAAAAATAGAAGAAATTACAAACATTTAAGAAGTTTGTATCAGCAAATGTTCAGGATTTTTACTTTGAAAAGTAGAGGTGGAGATACTTTGTGTTTTTCTGGTAAAACGTGCTTGATGCACACAGACACACTGAGAGGCTGATGCTATCAGGTGTTTCACACTTTAACAGCACATCAGTCGAGGGACGTGGTGAAGGCCAGACATGAGGAGAGTGGTGCAGGGTGGAGGGAGTGCTGAGTGTTCTTTGTACGGAAAGTCTCGGATGCCCCCAGTGGAGGAAAAGAAGATTTACAGTCTTCTTCGACGTGGCTGCTATTCCCTTCACCGGCCAGCCCCATCCGTCATCCGCTGAAAAATGTTTCATCGCCTTCGTACTCAAGTCTCTCCTCGATCCGTGCAGATGCAAACATGCACTGAGGACTTAAGATTCTGTTTCCGTCCAGTCCTCCGGTTTGGATCGCCTCCCCTCCCCTCCCCGCCCTTAAAAGAGGAGAGGAGGGAGAAGTTCAGTCAGAAGAAGTCTTCCTCTTTCACACCCGCTCGGGGTTGCTGTCCCTGTTTACCCTCCGTCTGGGGAACAGCTTTCGCTTCAGCAGAATGAGCTGCAGGAAGAAGGATATGAAGAATGTTAGAACAAGAAAGTGCAGACAGCAAAGGAAAGATGGAAACGCTTTGAGGAGGATCAATATAACAGGGGAGCTGGAGATCACAGAGAGGCTTTTTTTTTGTGTTTCTGGGGGCGTGTCTTCTCTTCCCGCGTATAGTTTTGAGCCCAAATTTTTTCTTTCCCATTTTTTGGTTTTTTGTTGATTTTTTTTTTGTTCATTCTTTTGTTTTGGCTTGACATGACCTAGAGCAGCTTGTTTTTTTGATATTGTGTTGTGTTTGCTGTTGATGCCTTGGTGGTAGTTGTTTTCTTTTTTTTCATAATGTTGTGTTGTCCCAACCATTCTTGTCGTTTTTTTTCTTCATTATTATTTTTGCCACCGCTTCTTTTTTTGTTTGTTTTTTTCGTGTTTTTCCTCTACTACACGATTGTTGAGGCGTCTTATTCTTTTTTTTGTTCTGGAGTTATTCTTGTGGTACTGCTGCACGGTTTTTTGGGGAGCAGCGCCTCCTAATCTTGTTGGGCAAATATCTTTTTTTTTTTTGTTCTTTCAATATCCTGCAAGCTTCTTAGTTCATACAAAGAAAATTTAGATAATTTACAAACACTGTTGTGAGTTCCGGGGAGTCGGCTGGTTTCTGGGCAGCCCAGAGTCTACAAATGTTCTGGCCTCAGAGTACTATTTAACACCATGTTCTGTCTAGCACATAACCCTTCCAACAAATTTCCCGTGTTATTTTTACACCTTATTTTTGTACAGATTAAAGAAACAAGATATAAAGTGTCAATTAGTAACCTTAAGAGGTGCTGATGGACGGTTTGTTTGATCACTGCATAAAGACAGTCTAAGTGTTTCCCAATGTTTCCAGTCTTTACGTTAACTGACCAGTGTAGCTTTATATTTAGCGGGAACAGATGGAAGAAACGGTATCTAATTCAACTCCAGGACCCACAAAAAGTATGCACGCGTCCCAAAATGTCAAACTCTTCCTTTCAATAATCAAGACTTGGACATGAACCTCCCCTCACATGTTTGTAACCCAAGAAAGCAAAGATAATCTTAGACGTGGAGCGGCAGGGTGAAATCGTGTCCCTGTGAGAAGTGAGGACACTTTTGATCTCGCTAATCTAAAGCGTACCTTAATAACTTAGACAGTAGGACGGCCAGGCTCATCTGGTGCCAGAAAGACATCAGAAGTCTGTTTGTGCACAGTGACCGAGACACTGGACAAGTCTGGCACCTTCCTCAACAGGGAAAATTCTCCTAAGGTCACCGCAACTATTAACCTTTCTTTGAGGAGAAACTGGAAACCTCTGGATTAGAGAAGTGCCGCAGCTCAAAGTCAAACCTGGGTCAAGCAGTCGTTGTTAAACAAGCTCCTGACATCTGTTTCCAGCAGCAAACTGGGAGGATTTTACATTTTACAGGTGGTGCAAAAATATTTTCCTGATTTTAAAAGTTATTGCAGTAATCTATGGATGCTGTAGAAATCCAACAAAGATGATTAAAGTGAACGCAAATACTGTCTGATCCAGGTCAACAAAGGCAAATCACATTTTGCATTTCACAAAAGGACTTCTAGGGGTCTTTCATTTCAACAAAGTCGGGTCCCGGCTCGGCTGGTCATACGAGCTCGTCACATGAGACAGACGCACCTCACAGTGGAATTTTGGTATCGAAGGCCCGAATCATAGCTCGAGTGTGAATCATGGAAATGAAGAGGTGTGACAGTGAATGTCCCGTGTGTCTTTATCAGAACGTGTAAATGAACCGAGTGTGGTTCGAGGTGGACGCTGACCTGTTCTGCGAAGAAGGACATGACAGTGAAGATGACGAGTGTCACGAGGACGCAGTGGGTCCAGAACTTCAGCTTGTCTCGATACACCCGCCTGGGAAACAACACATTTCGGTTAGTTAGAGCTCATCTATTGTTACCCAACACCAACAGGGGCAGATGTACGTATCGAATGTATGTTTCCTGGCTGGATGAAACTGACGACAGACTGTTGTGCTGTGATGATGTAACAAGAAGGAAGCAGGAGTTATGCGGAGGGCAGCAGGGCAACGGGGCGACAGGGTGACATCACCTCACGCCATCTGCCTGTCACTTGACCAACTCAGACATAGAAAAAGAGGTGGAAAGGAAGGGGAGGAGACGAGAGGCTCAGCTGTGTCGTGATCTTGCGAGTATCTTACAGCGAGCGACTGATCTAAAGCAGCTCGGTCTAATTTTAAAGTCTCTACACGAGGTTGGCATTCCCCAGCTGAAGCCAACTGAATACGGGAGCAGGAACCCTCGTGAGGGATTCCCATCACTCAGTCCCATGTAGGGACAGCTACAAACTCCTGATTTAGTCGCAACGGTTTAAATAAAAAACAACTTGATAACTTACTGGCATGTGCAGTAAGGACACAGTGCTGTATGAGTGCTTTTCAACCAATACAACTACAAAAATAATGAAACAAACTAGACATCAGAACATTAATGGGCAGCAAGATCTAACTTAACCAAACATGCACCTGTTGTTGTTTACAACCTTTGTGTTTTATATGGTTGAAAACTGAAGCTCTTTTTCACTATTTCAACTCATTTTTGACTGAAAATGTAACCGATTAACCAAAAACATAACAGAAAATATCACACAGAATGTAAACATATGTCTACTGGCACACTAGTTTTCTAAGTATTCGATCATAAACTAAATGATGAGGATGAAGATGAAATAAAAAAGCCAAGTGAAAGTGAAATCAAATTTCAAGGGAATCCATCAAACAGTTAAGAAATCTTCAACAAATTTCAACCTCATGATGGCTCAAGAAGGAAGGTCAGCAGAAGACTAAGTTGTGAGCATAAATAATCTGGGAATCATGAATGTTTGTACCAAACTGGATGACTAGATAAGTGAAAGCTCTGACCTTCTGATGATACATTATCAAAAGGACAATGTCAGCAAAGTTGTGAGGATTCATCGTCTGGGAACCATGAATGTCTGTACAACATTTCATGGTTATACATCTGCTAAAGCATTTCTGTAAGAACCAAATGGTGGATGATTGGAGCCTTAGCAGAAACTGAGCAAATTTCTGTGCACACACTTCATAGCGTACCATTCCTGGAGCTCCTCCATATGCAGGAACCTGTTCCGGTATTCTCTGGGTAGTTCGAACTGGGACGGTAGCGGGAACATGGACTCGTAGAAGTCTCTCAGCACAGCTTTCACCGTGGCAGCGTCCTTATGGCTGTGGTCGATGTTATCATTCAGACAGATGAACTTCCTTTGGGCAAAAATAAAGACGTTGGCTCAGTTTAACAATTAAGACTGGACGGATACGAGCTTTGGTTGCAGCACATCAAGGGAAAACAACAGAAAAGTGTTCATTTGTAGGGAATGTAAAGCTGTCCTCACCTGGGATTCTTTCTAATGTCATCTAACTGGCCGACCACATGGGACACGTTGGTCCGTACCATCTTGAAAGCGATCTCCTCCTCACCCATGATCTCAAACCTGTCCACAAAAAGCCATATTAACTTAGTCCTCAAAAAAAAAAAAAAATAAAATAGATAATAATAAATATAAAATACAAATATCCTAATAAATAACAACTGTCAATCTCACTTGTATTTGTTCTGGTCTCTGAAGGCTTTGAGAATGCGCTCTGTGATGGGCTTGCAGTGGAGGACGAGGCCCTTTGTGACAGGAGGCTGTAGATAAAAACAAAAGGAACCTCTGTTGAATGATTCAATGTACATTTATAAATCAAAGAGGCATTTTGTAACATCAGAAGTGTCATTTAACATCAATTTGAGGTTTTGTAAGCCTTTTATTTTAAGTTTCAGCTCACCATGCTCGGGTCATAGTAAGCTTCCTGCGTAGGGTTCACCAGGTGGAGCTGAGTCAGGTTAGTCGGGAGTGTCTTGGAGCAGTTTATCAACATCTGCTCCAAACCTGTCAGGTCCTGGAAATGCCACAAAGAATAAAGACAAATATGTTTCACAACTGCAGTTCTTGTAAACTGATGACTAGTCTCAAATCTTTTTGCTGGCAAGATGCAACAGAGCGACGTCTGACCTGGAGGCTGAGGGGCAGCTCGTGGATCCTTGTGGCAAGAGTTCGAATCTCTCGGTCGGACAGAACACCAGAGTGGTCGGTGTCGATCTCATCAAAGACTTCGGAGACGTTGAGCTGCTGCTGAGCGCTCATCAGGAAGTAAAAGTATGAAAAGGCAAACTGCATGTCCTCAGAGTGACGAACACGGTGGCCTGAGGTTTTGTCAAACTCTTCTGGAAATCTAAAGACAGGAGCACATAGATTAAGATACAGCCTCTTCAGAATACATTAACATCTACACAAAGACATTAAACAGTGTCCCCTACGTGTCCTGCAGCTCCTGCATAATGAGACGATCAATCATGTGTGGCATGTGTGCAGGGACTTTGCGGGATGTGAAGCCAAACTGTCCGTTGAGCAACTTGTTGACGTATCGCAGAGAGTCAGCAAAAGTGTCTCGCAGCTTTCTTGCTGTAGCAGCACCATCAGTCTCATAAGACAGCTCCCTCTGAAGACGCTCCTCTTCCTGTGGAGTCAACAGGAAGAAAATGAAGTCAAAATGTTTCACTAGAGGTTAAAAGTAAAAGTTGGGAGACCTACAAACCTCAAGCAGGGCTTGGAAGTATTTCCTCCTCTCCCACGGCAGGAAGCCTCGGTCTGCGGAGATGAAGTGATGGAGCCTCCTCCCCACAGGAGCAGCAATGGCTGGCTCAGGCTGACTCTCTGTGCTTTTTTTCTGGGAAACGCTGCTTAGAAGTTTGGACGTCTTGGGTCTCTCAATCACAGCATTCAGAGGATTTGGCTTGTCAGTTACAAGGTCTTTCTGTTTACCGTCGTTGTGGACTGGGATGAGGGCAGTAGCAGGTTTGTCTTGCACAGCCACATCTTTTTTTGGCAGTCCTTCCTTTTTCTGATTTTTTTGAATGACACCAGCTTCATTTTTCATGGGTGGCTTTCCTTCTAACTTATCTCCCTTAAGGTCTTTAAAAGGCTTCCCCTGAACTCTGCCTGCACCATCACTGCCTGGTTGTGAGCTGATGGCTTGCTGCTGTTCAGTCAGTGTCTTATAGGGTTTTAGAAGTTCAGCCTTTGTGAGGTCATAACACTTCACAGTAATATTGCCAATCAGAAGCTTCTCCTCCAGCTTTTGAAGCTCACTGCGCACAACCGCTGGTAAAAGTGACACATTTACTGAAGGAACCTGTATGACAGCCTCAAGTTCAGCAGGCTCCCTGTTCTGGATCTTAGGACCTCGTTTGTCCTCAGGAACATCTGAGAAAGGGTACACTGGTTCAGGGGTTGGGGTCACCTTTGGGTCTTTTCCTGCATCTTTGATTACAGTTTGGGAGACGTTAGTTTGAGGAACTTCACGAGTGTCGACAGCTACACTGAAACTCATAATGAACTCGGCTTCGTCTTCTCTTTGGAAAGTGAGGTTGTACTGGATCTGGGTGGCATTGTGGCCAGAGTGGAGCAGAAGGTGGATGGTCTTCCACTTGTTGGCGACGGAGGTGTGACGAACTACTCGGTTGTCGCTGACGTGGGCCTCAGAGACCCTGCGAGCAATTCTCTCGAAGCTGAAATACAGCCTGGTTTCGCCCACAGGGAGGGTGTAGAGGCTCTGGTTCCTCAGCAGGGTCACACGGTGCAGCTCGCCGAAGTGCTCTGCAACGGAAATTAATACAGATAAGATTTAACAGCATCATATCACATGACAGGCCCAAAACAAACAATGCATAAACCGGTCTGTCAAAACTTGACTGTGTCTCTCAGCCCCAAACACACTGGCTCCTACTGAAGAAAACAGGAGGCCATCGTGTGACAAGGACATTTCTAAAGCAGCTGGACACTGCATTTGTGCATTTGTGAAAAGAGCATTTGTCTGGAACCTTTGTCAGGCATGCTTTGATACATATTAGACACACAGGTGACCATTTACAGCATGAGGATGTTTGCTGTAATAAAAGTACATGCCTCTTACAACAGTGTGCTCAATCGTGTTTTTTAATAGTTCCTGGACAACAATGGACCTCTTTGGCAGCACAGACAATACAGAATAGGTTCATTTTGGTCTTATTGTTGGATGTGTTGTCACTATGTCACCAGATACATTCCTTATCCTGACATGTCCCTAATGGCAGATTAAGTTAGTGTTATAGTAGCTGAAAAACCTCATGATTATATGCATTTGCTTAAAACTCACCTTGGCCACAGTCGCCCACATCAAAGCCACAGGAAAGTACATTGCAGGCCTGGTCACAGAACTTGTCTGCCAGCCAGGAGTTGGCACAGCCTTGGTTGCAGTAAGACGTCCCCCCAAGTCCTCCAATACCACCCGCAAACTGCCACACCTGTCCACCAGCTCCACCGGCTCCACCACCACCGATCCCACCAGCAAACCGACTGTTCCCTGCAACACCTGTCAAAGAGAAGCATTCATATATTAAAAAAAATACAACCCAAACAAGCTGATTCATACAAGACAGATAGCTGTGTTTATCTCTTTACCCAGACAGTCTCCTCCATCCCAGTCACAAGCAGAGTTGTTGCAAGCCTTGTCACAGTAGCCATCTTTGATCCAGGATCCTGGGCAGCCCTCTGCACAGTTGGGAACAGGCCAGGTGAGATACACCTGCAGAGAGAAGACACAAGTGAATGCCAATTTTGGTATTTCACCATCAAATCGTGGCACAGATTTCACACTGAACCTCATTGTCAGCACTTTTCATGTTGTGTTCACACCTTCTGTCCTTTCGAGTGGCTGTAGAAGTCGTCCGGCCACACGTCTTTGCCGAACATCACGTCATCATTGAGGTAAATAAACTTCTGGGAGAGCCCCGGGATGCGATGGATGTGGGTCTCTATAGCGGGGGAGCTGAAAGTGGGAAGGTGGCTGTGGTTCAAGAAGATGTCCTGGAAGTCAAACAAGGACATATTCACATGCATGTAGTAATAAATAAACATTTAATTTCAAAACCATACAAAGAATAGTTTCTGTGACAAGTATGTATGCTGATTTGACTGCAAAAAACAAAACAAAACAAAACAGAAATTGTGTTTTAATAAAATCAGACTTTGAAGACCATTCAGTTCATTAAAATAAATAAAACATGTACAATTTGACCACTGATTTCATTGTTTGAAGTTTAAGACATTACATTGGGTTAGAAGTCAGTAACAACAAGCTGACTTCCCAAATTGAGGCTTGAATTTTACCTGATGTGTGACAACTGAAACTCTGGGGTTATCCAGATTGAGCCAGGAGGGAATCTGTCCGTTAGTGACGATGAAGATGTGTCGCACCCAGGGGGCGTGTCTCTCCACCGAGCGCAGCGAATAACGGAGCTCCTCGTTGTCCTCGAACCGGCTGGCTGATACGTCTTCATCCTGTTTAGACTGGAGGGAAAAAACAGACCGTAAAGAACTTTGCAGATCATAATAAAAATTTCCATTAGCATTACTGTGGTTCTATGCAGTTAAATGTCATATGTTGCTATAAGATCAGACTACATGATGCACCAACAAAGAGTGTTTCAGGTGATTTTATACTCGCTAACAGGGTTATATTCATATCAGCAGATGGAAATTTGTCTGAAACAAGAAAATGTGGCTCTTATTACTTTAAATATTGATTTGTAAAGTTATATAGCAAAGAGAAGACAGTGTCAGAGTAATGTACCTGTGAGATGGCAGTGAGATCCCAAAACAAGTAGCCAGGACTGATGGTTAACTCCTTCCCATCCAGCGTCAGGTTCTTTTTAGCCTGCTGCGTCAGATCAGTGAAATCCTGCGGGGTCTTCAGGTGGAGCAGGGCGATGCTGGCCTCCGAGTACAACTCAAACTGAAGGAAAAAATATATATATTAACAGTACAGATTTAGCTCAGAAGACTACACCAGAGGTTTGGCACGGACTAAATAAAAATAAGTGAAGCAGCAGAGGCCAAGATTTCCTGACTTGCAGGTCCCAGTACGGATTAAGCTCTGAACACACTGGATCCTAAAATTCTCATAAGGGTTAATAGTTCAGTGCTATTTCTTGTACGACTCTCACAACATGCAATTCTCATTCGCTGTTATTAGCCAAACTGCTCTAGCCTATAGTCACTACTACAGCTCAAACTAGAATATATTAACAACTATACTTCTATCATGACTGTGCTTAACAGATTGGAACTCACGTCCCCTGACTCTCCAAAGTTCATCCTTGGCAATTTTATAAATCTATTGTGTTTATTTTTTTGATGTCTTTATATTAAATACTCAGTGAGCTTTTAAATTGCCCCTAGGGGATAAATAAAGTCATCTGAATTGAACTGAATTGAGTGGATTACCATGACATTTTGTACCATTCTCACAATCCCTCCACCTGTCCACCGGTGCCACCATGAGTTTGATTTCTGTGTTTCAGAGTAAGATATGTACTGCAAGTATTGCTGTACTGCAAGTATTGCTGTACTTGCTGTTTGGTACAGATAATTAGGGTACCATGAGGTTGAAATCTAATAATTTCTGTGATGATCTGGTTTCTCCTTTAGCTACTTATTCAGTGAAATAAATCAGTACAGACTAATTCGATTTGATTTTGAGAGAAACATCTTGAGTGTTAGATGGACTGTTGTTAGATTTGGTACACACATTCAAGGTCCTTTAAGGATAAAGTCAACTAATTTTGGTGTTCCCCTTAGTTTTCACACGTCATCATGATTTGCTTAATTCAATTTACTCCATACCAAAAGACCCAAACAACCTGATTTATACAAGACAGAACCTCAGCTGTACTTTATGTTTGGTGTTAATAAGCAAAGGTTGGCATGACACCCACATCCTAAACATAAGCGTTAGGCTCAAAACACTTAAGTTACAGCCCACATAGCTACTAGCGTTGGCTGTAGACTATCTTCTTAATATTTTATATAAATACAAATTTCAAATCTTTCAAGAACGTGGGCTTGTAGAAGATATAGTTTCTAAACTCATGTACCAAGTTCCCAGAGTTGACACATGGCAACCTCGCTGTCACATGTTAAAGCTCTAAAGTTCCTCTTTAAGTCAAAAAGCAAAAGTAACTGTGTCTGCTGTGGGAAAATCCTTCAAGGAAGTTTCTCAGAAGTGAAGGCACATGCTCAGCTATGTGGTTTAGCTGCAGGGACAGGCTGGTGACAGAGACTCTGACCGGAAGATTTCTGAAATATGGAAATAAATTAGTGGGAATGAAAACTGTGACTTCTTGGACAAACCAGGCAGGGCGACCTGCGACCCTTCAGACATACAGAGGTCAAATCAAAGCAGCCATGATGCTCATGTGGAAGCATCCTCTGGCTGCTGGATTCATACTAACGAGAGACAGAGAGAGAGAGTGCGTGAGTGTGTGTGTGTGTGTGTGTGTGTGTGTGTGTGTGTGTGTGTTTACATAGAGGTGAGAGTTCAGAAAATTCTATGATGTCATCCTCTCCATCTGGGTCACATGGAGTTGGCTCACCGTCTGATCTCAGGACAGTTATGTGAGGCATCACTGGACTCTGTGTGTGTGTGTGTGTGTGTGTGTGTGT